CTGGGGGGGGACACCTGTTTCCCCTCTCTGTTTGGGTTGGGGAGGGAGGAGTGGGGCGGGCTGGAAGCCCAGGTTCTCTCCCAGTTTGTGGGGGTGTGGTTGCTGAGAGTCTGCACACAACGGTGCTCTCCTAGTTTGGGGGGGAAGGCAGGGTTCGCTGGTAGCCCTGATGCCTGGGTTCCCTTTCTGTTTGAAGAGAGAAGAGGAGGGGGCTGCTGGGAGCCCGGATGCCTGGGTTCTCTCCCTGTTTTGGCAGGGGGTGGGGGGTGTTGCTGGGAGCCCAGATGCCTGGGTTTCCTCCCTGCTGCGGGGTTGACAGTGGGATGTTGGGGACCCAATGGGCTAGACCAACCCAGGTCACCTGCAACTCTGGGCCCTTGGGGGTGGCAGCAGGGCAGGCAGCTTCCCCACAGGAGGGGCAGTGCCCACATCCAGCATCTGGTTCCCCATGGCTCCCTTGGGTGGGTCTGGCACCAAGAGGAGCCACCACCGGGTTCGCTGGCAAGACAGAGAATTGGCCTAGAGCAGAATCGAATCCCATGGCTCTGTTTGCTTAGAAGGGATCCTCCAGATCCTTGGCCCTCATGGTGGCGGAGCTAAGCCATCCAGCTCTTTGGGTTGGCACCCTTCAACCCTTGAATGCTCCTGCCACTGACCAATCTGGAGCGTGGCACAGCCTAGTTCCCCATCACAATTGGTCTTGGGGTCAGTTCTTGGAGGCCAGATTCCTCTATGTCTTCTCCTCATGAAGGCCTCTGTGTTTGAGCGGCTTCTCAGTGTTCCCAGTTAAGCTAATGAGCATTGGGGACAGGAAGAAGACGGGAACATGGTTCTTCCGTGTATTGTAGGCCTCCCACTCCTTCTTTCTAGGAGAGCTAGAGGACTTGTATCAGCCTAGAGCAGGGGGTCAAACTCATTGGGGCCAGCTGACCTGTCTGCACGGACAGTTGGGGTGGCCAGGCCTTCTGAAGGCCGTGTCCCATTACTGCATGCCCATTATTTCCTGTCCCATTCCTTGCTCAAGAGAGAGCCATCTTCGCAGGAATCATTCCCAAGATGGTGGCCGGCTCCCAAGATGGCCTCTTGAGTGCTGGGAGCAGCCACAAGATGGCAACTGAGCAGTGACGGAGAGCGTCGCGGGACAGAGGCATCACCGAACCCAACCATGGGGGTAGACAGAGGGGTTGGATGGTGGTGATGGACCAGCTTCGCTTGCCTGGTGAGCACGAGGATACCTGTATCGATGCCCATAGGATGCTGCCAATGGTGGTTAGACGTTGCTCAATAGCTTTGTTTTGGAGGGGGCGGGGAGGTGAAGGCCAAGGGGTGGTTGGTCTGGCTGAGACTTCTAATAAGCATATATTGCCTTTACCTCCTGTTCCGTTCCTTGCTCAAGTGGGAGCCATCTTAATGGGGATTGCTGCCAAGATAGGAGTTGGATCCCAATGTGGCTTCTTGAGTGCCAGAGGCAGCCACAAGATGGCAGTGGTGACAGCAGCAACATTCATCAGATGGAAGCTGTGCTATAGGGAACAAGCAGTGAGGAGAGATGTTGCCCAACGGTAGGGATTGACAGAGGGTCAGATGGTGGTAGTTGGTCAGCCTCACCTATGACCATGAGGAGAACCAAGTTGGCAAACCTAGGGTGTTGCCAACAGCAATTGAATGATGCTTGATAGCTTCATTGGGGGATGAAGGCCAGGTGGTAGTGATGGTTGCTGGGGTTTTCTCCCAGGGAGGCAATGGAACAACGTCCGAGGGTCCCTCACTTGGTGATATCCTCTAGCAGTTAGTGCCCGCATCTAGCTGTCGTCCATCAGGCCTTAGTTAGATCTTGAAGGAACCTTGGCACTTCCCCCATTGGGTCAAGATCGAGTGAATCCCTTGATCTTGGTTGATGGGCCAAAGAGATCCAGCGGAAGAGATCAAGCCTTGACGATGGCTGGATCTTGAAGGAACCTTGATTGCTTTCCCCTTGTTGAGTCGGGATCGAGTCTGTCCCTCACTGATGGGCTGAAGAGACCAAGCTATGCCCACCAACTCATCACCACTGGTGCCCAGGTTTCCCACAGGCCAGTTCCCGCAGCATGAACAGGTCGTCTGATGTCCCAAACATGAGCAAGGAGGTGCCCAAACCTCCTGGCCCCCAGGTTCCTCTGGCATTACCCCTTTAATTAAACAGGCCATTCTTGGACAATCAACCAGCTTAGTAATGGGTCTTTAGGAGCTGCTTTTGGCAAATAATTCAATTACCAGCTCAATTTTTGTGTTAGGGGGTCAGATCATATGAGCCATCACTTCTCATTCATTTCTTTAGTTGTCTCTGATTAGAGATGAACAAATCCAGGGCTTTTTGTTTTATTTCTCCAGGTAATTAGCATCCGGAGTAATGGCTGTCTCTAATTAGGCTCTGGTCAACTTATTGGCCTCTCTTTAAAAAAATGTTTAATTAGTGGGTATTTATTGCCTTTATTTTTTGCTAAAAAGGAACCTTTTTAGGGCAGCCCGACACCTGGGTTTTGTCCAAGTTCTAGGAGAGGCGTAGGAGCTAGTGGGTAGGGCTGGCAGCCAGGACTCCTGGGTTCTGTCTGTAGTTTTGGGGAATGGGGTCTGGTGGGTTACAGCAAACACCGGAGAAGAGAATAGTGTCTGGTGGATGATAACCGAGAGGGTGCTGGCAGCCAGGACTCCTGGGTCCTCTCCAGCTCTGGAAGAAGAATGGGGTCTGGTGGGCGCAAGCCAGGTTTCTGGGTCGTATCCCATCCCATTCACCTCCACGTTGTCTCCACCCCGTCTCTCTGCAGGTCTTGGTGTCCCCAGGAAGACGTGGGGCTAAAACGCTTGAGCTTAGAACCCCAATACTGCAGGTAAGAGCCCCCCAGTCTTTACCGTTTCCCATGCTTCGCCTCTCCATCATGCTCAGGGCACCTCTCTGACATCCTGCCTTGAGCCTTCTTCTTTTCCTCACAGTGACTTCCTGGCACCAGAGGACCCCAGCCTGCCCCCCCACTGGTGGGCCCAGCCATGCCACCCAACAAGGCCTCCCCAGGCCATGCAGGGACGCCAAGCGCCCTCATCTGCCTGCCACCTGTCTCTGAGGACCTGCTAGTGGTGTGGACGGAGGCTTCACAGACCAGCGACCTGGACGCCCACCAACCACTGCTGCAGGCCTTCAGCCGCTTCCCCTACCCCAGCCTGGCTGACATGGCACTGCTGTGTCTCCGGCACAGCCTCAAGATGGAGAAAGTGAAGGCCTGGTTCATGGCCCAGCGTCTGCGCTGCGGCATCAGCTGGAGCCCTGAGGAGATAGAGGCCACCCGAGTCCGCCTGGCTGTCCACTGGGACCAGATGCCCTTCAGGGCGCTACTCGCCAGCCGGGACCCCCTGGCACAGGCTGGCAAGAGCCAAGGGGCTTCTGTGCCTGCCCCCAGCAAAGCCCAGGAGAGCTGGGTGACCTCAGTGGTCCAGACCCCAGGGGCAGCTTCCATGGTCTCCCCCTACCAAGCCCATGAGATCCAGGTGACCTCTCCTGTCCAGGCCCCGGGGGCAGCCTCCATCATCTCACCTTATCAAGCCCAGGAGATCCAGGTGGTATCTTCTGTCCCAACCCCCACTGGGTCCCGGCATAGAGCCCCCGAGAGCAAGCCACCAACGGGGCCTTCCCTCCAGCCCAGGGTGGAAGCACCGGCTGTGCCACCACCCAGCCTATATCCCACGCCGCCACCCGCCTACCGCGCCTGGATGGATTTCCCTGCTGCCTCCAGCCTCGATCTCCCTCCACAGGGTGTGGGCACAGCCCCCTGGGACCTCAGCAAGCCCTCCCGGCTCGGGGCCCCTGATGGTGGGGGACAGTCGGAAGCGGTGCCAACATCCTCCTCCCTGGCTTCCTCGCGAGGCCCAGCTGTGCCACCAGCCAATGGGGCCAAGTTATGGGGTCAGCACCCAAGCCCAGAAGCCCAACAGCAGCCCCGGAAGATCAAGCGGAAGACAAAGGAGCAGCTGGCCATGCTCAAGTCCTTCTTCCTGCGATGCCAGTGGGCGCAGCGAGAGGATTACTTGTGGCTGGAGCAGGTCACAGGGCTGCCGCGAACTGAGATCATCCAGTGGTTTGGGGACACCCGCTATGCCCTCAAGCATGGGCAGCTGAAGTGGTTCTGGGACAACACAATGCCTGGCTCCGGGCCCCCGGCCCAAGGCTCCGGGCCCACAGCCCAAGGTGCCGAGCCCCCGGCCCAGGCCACCAGGCCCCTGTCCCAGAGCCCCAAGCTGCAGCCAGACACAGCCCCACTGGAGAGCTACTGGGCTGCCCACTGGCAGCTGCGGGAGGTGGACGTGCCAGCACTGTGCCAGCAGTCGGGGATGGGGAGAGAGGAGGTGCTGAACTGGTTCTACTCGCGCTCCCCTGAACCAGCGGAGGTGGAGGTGTGCTTGGGTGAGGAGGATGGCGGCGAGGAGGAGGAGGAGGTGATGGCACCCGACGAAGAGGAAGAGGAGGAGGAGGAGGAGGAGGAGGATGAGGAGGACGACGACGACGATGAAGATGACCTGGTCCTCCAGGAGTGAGGGGCGTTGGTTCCAGAGACCATTGCTGTGGGGAGAGCGGCATGGGGGGCCTGGGGCATCTCCAGAGCTCACATCCTGTTCAGCCCAGTTTCTCATGCTCTGGACCCTGGAGGTCCGCCAGTTGCGTGATCAGGTACCCAGGCCTGTTGCCTTCTTTCATGCCTCATCTCTGGTTCTAGATCCTGTCTCCTTGCCCCTCTCTGTCTCCTGGGATCCAGATCTTGACTGATCCCTTCGGCTTCCCCTCTGGCGCTCCAAGGTCCTGGCTTCTCACCGTGAGGTCTAGAGCAGGAGACCCTGCTCCGCGGTCTTCCATCTTCTTGAGCCCCTGACCTTTTTCTCCCTCTTGCTCCAGACCCCGGCTTCCTCCTCCCCTCCGTCTGGACTCAGGTACGTTCCCCTCTCCAGACGTCCCCCGTTCCACCCTCCTCAACGTGCCTCTCTTTCTAGAGCCAGCCCCCCCCCACACTTTGAAATGGCTTTAATAACCAGGCTGAGGTCTAAAACCTCCGAGACACCGGGGTGGGGGGGGGAAGCCTGTGAATTTATGTGATGGAGGGCAAGGTCCTCCAGGTTTGGTTTTACAAACCAGGCCTCCTTCCCCGCCACACCCCAGCTGGGGCAGGGGTGAGAGGGATGGGCAGAAGAGAGTGAAGGAGGCACAGTGTCTTCCAGTTGTTGGTTATTACGTTCAGGTCTTTAATTTGCAGGCGAATGCCGTGGCACCGCGAGCAACATACGATTGGGGAGGGGGGGGCTAGGGAGGGATTCTCCTTTCTCTCATCCCTCTGATTTATCTTCATTCTTTTCCCTTCATCCTCTGTGTGGTTCCTCTACTCTTTTGGCTTTTCTCTTCTCTCCTTTCTTGTTCCTTCATATTTTTTTCCTCTTGTTTCTTTTTCACTCGTTCTCCTCCCTCCTTTCTTGTTTGGTTGATTTTATTTTCCTTTGTCACTTGTTTTTTTCATTCTTCCTTCCTTTGTTGCATTTTCCCAACAACTGTACTGACTGGGTTGTGCATGGCTCAGGTTTGAGGTGTGTTGATTTCCATCCCTCTCCAAAAATAAAACAAACAAACAGCCCTCCACCCCCCTCAAACCAAATAAAACTTTGCTGCACAAATTGCCTTGGGTCTGGGTGTATCGGGAATCCCACCTCTCAGTTCCTGTATCTAGACCCGGCTCTAGCAGGAGGAGGATCATGCTGATTTCTCTGTGTTGCTACGGGGGAGCTGGAGGGGGTTGGCCCCCAAATGCCTTCAGTCACAGCTGGAAGGAAGGGGAGCTTGTGTCCACTCGGGGCTGAGCTGCTTGTATCCGAAGCAGGGTGCTTCTGGGGAAGGGGTGTTCTACTGGCTTGGCAAGTATATAGAAGGTTGAGGGTCCCTCTGAGTGGTGGGTGGGGGACTGATAATGTCAGATTGGCCTCAGCGGTGCGGCTGTGAGGGGAGGCAGGGATGAATGTAGGGGGTGACGGTGCGACTGTTGGAGAGTGTGTGTATGACTGTCATATAGAGGAGGTCCTTTTAGGATCTGACTACAATGAGGGGTGGCGGTGCCTGAGTGACAGATTTCAGAGGCTGAGCATGTCTCAACTGTAGGAGGGTTGCGTGCAACTGACCATATGGGGGTACGTCTGCAGGTGGCATCAGACTACTGGTGTGTGATTTTGAGGGGGGGCTGACTGCGAGGGTCATGTTTGTTAAGGTGTGACTCTGGGAGAGTGTGAACAACTGTAGGAGGGTCCAGCTACATGCCAAAGGTGTTAGAGTACAAGGGCATCTGCTTGTGACTATAGCTGGCACAAGGCATTATTTGTGCCTGCTTGTGAGAGGGAGGCTGTCAGACAAGATGACTCTAGGGAGGAGGGTATGACTGGTGGGGAGAGATGCAGGGGCCTCTACACATCCCCTGGCTCCAGCCTGCCTGTAGCCTGACACACAGCAGGCAGGAGCTGTCCTGGGAGCAGGGTCCAGTGCCATCTGTGACTCAGCCTGCTACTGCCCGTGCGATCGTGGCCTCACCCTCCTACAGCTGGGCATTCCTGCCAGTGCTGGGAGAGGAGAGATAGTTAGAAGAGAGAGAACCTTGCATTTGGGCAGCCCTACCCTGAGCCCCTCCTAGTCTGATCTTACCTGCTGTGCTGCGAGGAGGCCGAGGGAGGGATGAACCGCAGCTGGGAAGAGAACAAGTGACATGTAAGGCACTGGCCTTGGGATCCTCCTACCCTGCAATCTGCTCCTTGCCACTGCATACCCCTTCCCCCACTGGAACTGGCCCTGTCCCCAAGTCAGCCCTGCACCCCCACCCTTGCCTATAGGGACTGATGCCCTGCCCCAGAATCGGGGATGGTCCTTTTTTCCTGCCTGTATGGGCTGGGGTGCTCACTCAGCCCTCCTCACCTGCATGAGCCGCTGTCTCATCAGGCTCTGGTTCTCTGTGGGGGTGCTCTCCTCTCCCTGATCTGCAGATTGGAACAAGGAGGGACAGTGAGCAGAGGCAGAATTTGGGCCACACGGGGACCCTCTGAAAGAAGCTGCTGGTGGGTGAGGGGGAAACTTGTTCTGCCCGAGTGCTGGGGGAGCAGCAGAGATTTGGGGTCCAGCTCACCTGAGAAGATGCCTAGTGTGAGAGTGGGGGTGGCACGACTGGATCCCCTGTCACCTTCCCTTCCTGCCAAGGGGTGTGGGGGGAAGATGCCCAGGCCAGGGGTCTGGGATGAGGAGGAGGAAGTCCTGTAGGGACAAGAAAGGGGTTGGTGGGGGAGAGGGAGCTGTGATAAAAAGACATCCCCACCCCCTGGACTCACCTGTAAGACTGGCTGTGTGTGGAAGCTGGTGATGGGGTGGCTGCAAAACAGAGAGCAAACGGTGAGGGAAAGCACGTAAATGGGGTGGGTGTAGAATCCACTCCTGGGCTCAGTGTGGGGCATGGGTGGTGGGGAGGCCATGTCGCCCCACGGTGGGGGTGGAGAGAGGTTGATATTGCCCCAGAGGGCTAGATATGGGGAATGGGTAGGTGGGTGAGGAGGCTCAAAGTAAGGGAGGGGGCATTCTCATGGGCACAATCCTGTCCTGGGGTCCTACCCCCCATATGTCTGGGGCTCTGAGGCCGTGACCCTGGCGTAGGACTTGGGAGCGCCGCATGCTCTAGGGTTCTTACCATTGCTGGAGTCTGCTGGGGTCCTGCCTGCAGCCTGCCAGGACACATGGTGAGTTGAGGGGTAGAGGTTCCATGGGGCAGTGCCCCAAATCCATCAGGTAGGGGGCAGGGATCAGGGTAGGGGGGTCCTGACCTGCCAGCTGGAGGTGCCAGCACTCCGGTAGGGGAGAGAGTCCAGCGAGGAGAAGCGGCTGTTGGGAGGACATGGGATCCATTACGTGCCTGTCACGGGGCATGGCTGGGCCACACACACGTGCTCTTACCTAACCACCTGGCTGCAGTGCTGGGGACCTGACCGCGGGGTGACTGCAAGGGAAGGCAGCAGGTTAGTTGCATGGAATTATGCAGCTTTTCACGCATGGCACATTAGCACGAGGACCCTCACAGATGCACGAGGAGAGTCATGTGCCTCGCATGCAATTGCACTGGGGCTGCGGCATGTGTTGGCAGGTAGGCCTGGGTGTGGGCATGTTGACCGGGGGGCGCATTTGCACACAGCCACGTGCCTCACCTGAGGGCCCATGCTTGTGCCATGGGCCACAAGGCATGTGTGCACCAACATGTGTGCAGGTCTGTACTATGACATACTGGGGAGCATGTTGTTACATTCTAACCCTTTGCACAAGGGCCTGTGTGATGCACATTTGTGTGAGGCCTCAAAAGCTTGTTTGCAGCTTCCTGTTCACACATGCACATTGGGGCATGGAGATGCATGTGCATGGGTTTGCACACACTTGTGTGCATGCACAGTTGTACAGTACACACGCTAGGCTTTTCGGGGGCGGACACTAAGATGCACCATCGCATGCTCAGACTCCCAAGCACACATTTGTACCAGTGAGAACATGCATGTGGCTTTGCACCGTTGGCATGCAGCATGCATGCCCCAGTTGCCCTCATTACACTGTCACAACCACTGTGCTGCCACAGTCCTTGCACACCCCCTGCCTTCCCACCTCCCCTTCCCCCCAGCCCCTACATATTTGCTCGAGCGCTGTGCCAGGCACTCTCTTTACCTTTCTGTGATGGGGAGGTGATGCCCACTGGTCGGGGTGTGTTGTTTCTGCACAAAGGGAGAAGGACTCAGCTAAGGTTACAAGATGCTGGGGGGTAGCTATTGCTTCCACCACCCCTGAATGTCCCCACATCTGCTTCTGCTCCTCCCTCCCCCTGCTGACCTGCTGACCTGACATCGGCTGGGGGAGGCCTGCAGGGAGAGAAAGTGGAGTTATCATCTGCAAGGGGGGTGAGGGGAGAGGAAGCAAAGCAATGACAAAGTAGAAGACAGCAAAAACAGCCAGAGGGTTGGGGCACATCATGGATGGAAGGATGGACAGCACTTGCCTTGAGGACATTCAGGTATTTCTTCAGCTCTCGGTTCTCCTGCCTCAGCAGCTCTAGCTCTCTATGGCAGAAAGCGGGTGGGGGGGGTGTCAGGAGAGGTGTAAGTGCCCCAATCTCCCTGCACTGCCCCCCATGGTATTCCCCCCCGCCTTAAGTAAGGCAGGGACATTGTGCCAGGATGAACATTGCATGGATGTGAGTGTAAGGGATGTTTGCAGGACATGTGTGTAAAGGGGTGTGCAAGGCCTGCATGTGATGGTGAGTGAGGAGCACAGCAGAAGGAACACGTGATGATGAGCATGCCATGAGGCAGGTGCCTGACAGTACATGTCCAGCAGGCTGGGACCCAGGTGTGTAAGGGAATGTGTGCCAAAATGTGCACTTGTGATGGGGAATGTAAAAAGGGATAACCTGGGCTGCACAAGTGTGATGACAAGTAGGAGTGTGCCAGTGAGGGCTGGCAGGTGTGCAAACTCCTAGATGTGCAATGAGCATGAGTGCCAGGGAGTGAGCGCGCAAGCATGTGAGAGCCAGCACGTACATGGGAGAGTGTGGAGGGGCTGGGATCTCCCCTGCTGCAACCAAGTACTCACCTGTCACAGGTGGTGAGTTTCTGGCGCACCTCTTGCAGGGCCCTCTCCGCCTGGGACGCCTTGTGCTTGTAGAAGGAGAGCCGGAGCTCACTCTGATTCTGTTGGAACCGCCACACCTGGACTCGGAGAGAGAGAGAGCATGGGTCAGGCAGCAGTATCAGGCCCGTCCAGGGGCACTGAGCAGGGTACTGGCTGGCTGGTGGCATGGGATTTGGGA